CACAAAAAAAAGCATGGGTTTGGGTTCTGTTTCAAAGAAAATGGTCATAATCACTACTCAAAACTAGCTTGTTGACCTTTAACACCTACTGGCGTTACGTTGGTGCTGATGTCATGCATATTTACATTAATCTAAGCTTCACGCTGATTCACTTTCAATGCTTACTAATTCTTACTAGTTTATTGCTGTAATAATGGGTCCTCAGTCAAAACAGACAAGCCCTCTCAGGTGTTACCTAGAGTTTCAACCTGGAAGAAGAACAGGATGTTTACCTCATTTCTAGGCAAGAGGCCAATGGCCCGCAAAGGAAATAGTCCTATGTATGAATGGTACCCATGTTGCGTGGCACTCTGATCTTTGTCCACTCTCTCTACACCCGTGGCACATAAAGGTTATAATTAAACCATTCTGATGCCCAAAGTTCCCTGCTTACTCAATCAGAATTTCCATAGTCATTTGATTTTTTTTTTTTTTTTAACAACAGTTTTACACATAGGGGCAAATGTCACGTTACAAGCAGCTACGAGCAGACATTCATTGCATAACAAATTATTTTCAGCTGTCAGCTATTGTTCAATAGACTGACATCACAAAATTACCTATATAAAAATAGAGTGTGTCATGGTAAAATGCTAAATAATTTTTTCAATATTACATTGTTATATGGAAAGCATTACTGTGCACATGTATGCACTCTATCTGGACTTCGAAAACTCGCAAGACAGCGATTCCTTGCTGGAAAACCTAAAGCAGAGACATTGGGCCTCTAGCCAGTTATGACCGCACAGCATAAATATAACCATGCTTGCATATTTCGGTGGACGAGCAACAGAGATTGGACTTCACTATGGAATGAGAAGCTCAGAATGTCAACCAAAGCAAAATCAGCCACATAGTTCTTCTTCAAGGCCTTGTGAAGCTCTAATAAAACATCATTTCCTATAATGAGGTGTAAAGATCCTGAGTAAGTAGAGTACAGTAGGACATTCGATCAGAATTTCTATTAGTTAGTATTCAAAGACTTCACTGATTTCAAAAAATGCTTTACTCTAATTTGCAGTGTGGGTTTGCACCATGATTCTTTGGGATAAGAGTCATAGTAGATGAGTCATACCCTATTTGGAGTGGGAAACCGTGTCACAAAGGTTGCAGGGCTTGAAAAAGATGCTTGAAATATTAGGCACAGGTCCAAAAGTCAGGATGTACATTTACACAGTTGACATAAAATTGAACAATACTTTTCCTTTATGATTTCTCTGATTTTTCTTTTTTTTTTTATCCTGTTTCATAGTCACTCTGCATCTGTCACAAAAACAATTTTCAACATTTGAGAAACCATTTTTGGGTAACACTTTCTATGAATGTCACATTTGTAAGCATCTATAAACACATTTATAACATGTTATAATGTATTCATAAGGCATTATAAACATGGTTATAAATATTTATAAAAAGGAATTACACTGAATTACACTTTATAGCCATGTTTATTATACATTATGAATTGTTAATATAATGCATTATAAATAGTGTTAATAACATGTTATAATGTCAGTGCCAAAGAAGTCAGTCCCAGCTTGGAGAGCGTAAAGACAAATACCAAGCTAACGGTGGTGAACATTACCTTTCCCACATTGGGTAAAACACTGATGGCAGCACTAGTTTAAACTCTGACATTTGAAGCCTGTAATGTGCTTTACTGTGAATGTTTTAGTGTTTCAGTAAATCCTTCAGTTAATATTTCAACTTGAAGCCTCACTCTTAACACTGGAGGAGGCTTTAGTACAGTACGCTTCACTTTACTTAGAGCGGACAAATACGACTTATGAACTCTTATAATTTGTTATGATCAGTACTTATAATGTATTATGTTAACAATTCATAATGCATAATAAACATGGCTATAACATATAATGCATTTTTATAAATATTTATAGCTATGTTTATAATGTCTTATGAATGCATTATAACATGTTATGAATGTGTTTATAGATGCTTACAAAGGTGACATTCATAGAAAGTGTTACCCCATTTTTAATATAAAACAATATTTTTAAGAGGTTTAACTTAGGAATTTGTATAAAACAGATTCAAGTTTACTTTTTTATATATCATTAACATTATACTACATTTACAAAAATATATATTTTATTTACAAAAAATTGAGAATTTGGTCACTGGTGTTATCAGGACTCCTATGTTACATTTTAACACAGTATTTTTAGCTCTATTAAACTGCTTCATTAGGTCGAGGCTCATCAGAGAGGAAGCATCTCAAGGCACGAGAAGGCGAGTCACACTCTCTCACTATATTTCATTAATTTATTAATAATTTTGTTTGTCAGGCAGCACAGAACTTTTATGTGTCACCAGTGTTTAACTTAATTAAAATTTTGTCAAACTAATGTTGTATATCATCTGACCGCCAATGAGTCAGCCGATTTACAAAATCCTCAATTTTAACCCGAACGTCACTGGAGTCGCCGTCACTGGCGTCACACCATATTCATGTAACACCAGCGACATGTAAAATATGTTTGTAATTAAGCTCTCCTTTATGCATATATGATAATAGGAGATGTTAATGGATGTTAATGGAGATGTTAGAACCTCATTAAGAATGGTTTTAGGTTCTCTGGGGCTGTAAAGCATAAACTCATACAATGAAATATAAAAAAGCCCAAATTCTGTATCATTCTGTACAAGCATGCTTGGGTCTACACGAGTTGCAAGGCTGCATCTCGAAACACTATTATGACTTCAGCGCTGAAACATAAATATCAGGGGTGATTGGCATGCCTGTTGTAAGCCCTTACAGAGGAGAGACGCGCTCCAGGGTGTAGTCCCTCCCCCGGCCTGAAAGGCTAAACGAACACATGCAATAGTACACAGTCCAAGTCAAATAGCTCAGACACATTCACCTTAATACCTATTCAGAGCAAAACAAACCAGGCCCTGTCATCAAGGATTTGAATGTCAGGAGGAGGATTTAAGTCCATCGCTTAGTCTAATGTAATAAACCGTCTATCCAGCAAATACAATGAAACTAGCTTAGCTCTGGGAATGTTTGTGTTCTGGCTTGCTGTACATACCGTCTAGTTAGATTCATAGAGTCCATATAGCCAAACAGTGCAGGCCAAAACAGTTCTTTATGACAGAAATGACAGTACGAGATCAAAGGGCAGTCGGGGTATATGTTACCTAACAAAATGGCGGAAGCTCCTCAGGTGCACAACAGAAGTAACAGGAGTAGCAGGGTTGCCTTTCTGAGCCTTGTCATCCATATAATCCCCAACAGCTATTTGTGACACCAAACACCTTGCAGTCCGATGTTGAATATCACAAGGGGGATGTGTTATTCATATCAGGCCTGTTGCATGCATTCATCTACAGGAGCTGCAGTGCATTTCCATCCATGTTATCACAGGCTCTGTATGAGAAAGAGGAAGACATTGCATATTGTAGTTTTGGTCTTAGGCAAGAGCTCTCTCAAATAATGGATACACTGTGTGTTGTAGAAGCTTTTGGATGCTTCCAACAAAATGTAAAATCTAACTCAAAGTCTGACTCCTTATCTGTGAAAATGGCCAGTAAGAGGATGTGGTATGTATGCAGCTGACGAACACCTGTTTCAGTTTCAGTGTATTTCAGTGCAACCATGGAGTCTTTTGTGGACACACTGATATTTGTGGGCTGATGCCCTTCATTTATTTAATTTCCAGTCAAAGTGGCCATCAAGGACAGCTTATTCATTCTTCACAGATTTATATTTACATATCTGTTGTCAGAAGAAAACGGTGTTTCTCCATTTTTCAGTTTTTGACATAATTTGAAAATGTCTGCTGCCCTTTACATTGTGTGTAAATTTCATGATGAATGAACCAAAAGAAATGGCCCAAAACGACTTGGAAAAAAGTCTGGTTCCATTGACTTACATTAAAAGTAAAGTAGGTTTTTCCTTCTGCTGTAAAGTTACCATTTTGGAGATATGAGGTTTTGTTTCGACAACAGTGACATTTATTGTGGAAACATTGTCGAAACAAAACCTCATATCTCGATTTTGACAGTTTTCTGTTGTCCAATAATGATGAATTGCCCAAAAGAAATGGCCCAGAAAAAAGTCTGGTTCCATTGCCTTACAGTAAAAGTATGCTCCAACAGCTCTCTCTCTCTCTATTATTTATATATATATATATATATATATATATATATAGTAATAAGTATACATATATATACACATATATAGATATATGTGTATATATATGTATACTTATTATATTATAAATACAATACTTTATCTGTATATCTATATATATATATATATATATATATATATATCTATATATATATATATATATAGATAGATAGATAGATAGATAGATAGATATACAGACAGACAGACAGACAGATAGACGGATAGATGAACAATGGACTGACCACCTCAGAGTCCAGACTGCAACAACTTCTAAGACTGAACTGCGGAAGTGTCCTGGAAAATATCTTTGAAAAACTGAAAGTGAGTCTCCTGAAAAGATATATTCAGTTCTTGTGAACTGAACGTTTTGCACTTTTTTGAACTGAAATTGCCTTTTTGATGGGACGTTACATAAATAAAGACTGGTTTCTGACTTCTGCACAGCACTGTAAACAAACATTAATGAAATGCAGAAACTGGGATTACATTTACCTGGATTAGCATTACCCAGAAATTACATAACCCAGCTTTCTCGACCCAGGCTGGCCTAGTGGCGTCGCTGCATTCCTGGACATCTGATAGTGGACCGTCAGGCTGGCACAATCTCTGTTTATATTTACAGCTGTACAGTTAATTGATATGAAGAAAACTTTTGCCGCCTGCACGGTTTGGTCCAGGAGGCTGGTAAAGGGATGGAGGTGGTGGGGTGGAGGGGGGGAGTGTAGGAGGCGGACTCAAGAGACGTCAGTGCTCTCCAGCCCCATAAAAGCCATAAGGACAGGCACATGCGCGTCTGTATGGATAGCAGCGGTCGAGCAGCTCCCCCTTACAACTGAACGGGAGTGAAAGGAAGCGCAAAGCCCACAGCAGGAGTTTTACCTGAGCAGGAGGATTGGTGGGGGGCTCTACGGGGGGAGAGAAATGATGGAGCTGGACGGGAGCCATCAGTGAAGGTCCCGTGTGGCTGATCTGAGGGAAGAGTGGCCGGCTGTTTGGTACGACTCGCTGTTCGGTCTGCGGGGTCATGCTGCCTTTATTCCCAATGTCCATCGTGGATCTGCGCGTAAGAGCGCACGGACGGGAGCCAGCCGCGCGCTGAGCGGAGCGCACGGGACGAAGGAGGGGGTGGGGTGGGGGGGGTCTACCGAACACATACACACACACAGTGGACGAAGCGCTCTGAATGGATGCGGATTATTTGAAGGCTCCCTCTCCCGGACGCCACTCTAATAACGCAGCGTGGATCCTTCAACGTGACTCGGAATTGCGTGTGTGTCCGGACTGCAGGTCTGCATGGGTCCGAGCTAAGGTGAGTCAGGCTGGGACTGAGACCATAGCACTCTTCTGCACTCCTATAAGATCCGATTTTGGACCACGTTTAGGACTGGATGCCCAATCCAGCATGTAACCTCCTCTGGTTACACATTTCCAAGTACGTGGTCAGTGTTGTGGTCAAGGGAGCATAGCGTGTACCTGCTGTTTATGTCTGTTCACTGTTGTTTATGTAGACTTTAGGGCCAGGTGTTCCAGCACTGTGTGATTTTCTGGGTCTGTGGAAAGTGCATGCATGCAAGTTTGCTCTTGTGCTTGTTAAATAGTTCAGGTTCTCTCTAGACAAAACAACTTACCTCTACTACGGTTCTTTGAGGCTTCTTCAGTAAAAGGAATGGCTCTATATAGAACTAAATGGTTCTTTGCCTGGTGACATGGTTCCTCAGACTGATGGAGAATGTGTTATGTTGTTCTATTTAGATCCTTTTTGAAAATGGTTCCATATAGCACGAAAAAGGGTTCTTTGATTGTTACAAGCTAGACATCACAACAACAGCAAAACCCTTTTTGACATTTTACCATGCAAAGAACCGATTAAGCATACAGTGTTTGATACAGAACTCATGTTTCTAAATAGAACCATCACCTGTACTATAGAAGCCTTGAAGAACCATCTTTTTTAAGAGTGTATATAGCAGCAAAAAGCGTAATTCTATGCTTGATATTTTAACAATAGAAGAACCTTTTAGGTGCTATATAGAACCATTTTCTATATAGAGCCATATACAACACATTCTCCAAGAACCATTTCACCATGCAAAGAACCATTTAAGCATGAAATAGTTCTATATAGAGCCGTCCTCTTTACTACAGAATCCTTGAAGAACCATCTTTTTTTAAAAGCGTATACAGAACCATTTTCAAAAACATTCTATATAGAGCCATATACAACACATTCTCCATCAATCTGAAGAACCATTTCAACCATGCAAAGAACCATTTAAGCATGGGATGGTTCTCTAAGCTCATGGTTCTAAATAGAAGCATTCCCCTAACTAAGGAACTTTGAAGAACCATCTCTTTAAAGAGTGTATACATATTTTTAAAAAGATTCTATATAGAGCCATTTACAACACATTCTCCAGCAGCCTGAAGAACCATTCAAGCATTAAATGGTTCTATATAGAACTCACTGATCTAAATCTTGTTTAGCGTGTAGTTGGAACTCGGCTATCTATGGTTGAATGTAGCTGTTTCGGTTGCTTCTTCTTTCAAAACAAACTTGTTTCCCATATATGTTTAATGCACTATATTGGATTTGCAAGACATCACAGACAGACTGGTGTAATTAATAATGGGTCCTAGAGTCCTACAGTCAGTGTGCAACATAAAAACATGGAAAATATATGATAGCTAATTATTAGACACATTGAGAAAGGAAAGGAAAAATCTATAGATTTTTATTCCCAAATACATTGCTACTAGTTTTTTCCGTTCACTTGATTTCCGAAGCTCTCACCAAGAAAGTCCAGTATTTGTAGTTTCCATTCAATAACTAGTTTGGCTAATCAGTCCATCAGTTAATTAAGTCAGGTGTGCTGCTGATAGAATCTAACAAATCCATGCAACGGCTGGAGTGCAATGAGAAGTCGACCAAACCTGTGTTGTTCTAGGCAACATAATAACTTTTTTAAAAGCAAAACATCTAGGAACATTGTATACAGTGTTTTTACAGGCAAGAACACGCTTACTATACAGTCTTAAACAGTCTTCATGGGTGCCTAAGACTGTTGCACAGCACTGTTTTATAAACATGTTTATTATTTTGGTAACACTTATTTGGATGGTCCACTGTAGATGCTCAGGAGGTGTTTAAGTAACATTCAACTAAATATCTATTAAATGTAACTGCACATGAAAATCTATCCCTAACACTAAACCTAACCCCTAAGGCAAAACCTACACCTACTCCTAAACCTGACCTGACCCTAATGTTGCTGATAATCAATTATCACCAGAAATTTTGTTAATGATTTAAGTATCAGTAGATCATCTATAGGGGACCATCCAAATACACGCTACTGAAGGCAGAGGTTGCGAGTAAGGATCAGGGGCTCTGGCACAGAACACACATTCTCTGCTTCAGCTGTACTGACAAAAATCTGTTCGGCATTAACCGAATTTACGCAAGCGGTCTTTGCTATTCTGGACTTGTGAACTGAAGACTGAAGCCTATTTTTAATTCAGCCAATGTTTGCATTTTTAAACCCACCACATTCTATTTTATTCATATGTATCCAAAAGTACTCTTGATTTCAAGAAACATGCCAAACTTGTAATTTTTGGTATTTCCTGTCTTGCTCATCACAAGACGGATTTTTTGTAGGTTAACCATGGTAAATTAAAAAATTGTCAGTGACCCAATTAGAATGGAGAAGAAGAGACCTCAAAACAAACAAAATAATACAGCAGGGTCTCATATGTTTCACCTCAACATAGTCTCTTCCTTCTCTTTTCCTTATCCTGAGAAAAAGGATGGAAATGGAAACCAGCCGTTAGCCATCTGTATAACTGCACTTTGTGCAGGTGAGCCAGAGTAACCTTCAGCATGGCCTTTCCTTTTCTTTGCAGCTCCTTCCATAGGAACGGAGTCTAAAATGAAGTTATGGGATGTTCTAGCCACGTGTTTGTTGCTCCTGAGCTCTGTGTCCGCTCGCCCTCTGTTCCACAAGCTGCAGCCGTCGAAGAGAGCTTCACTGCCACAGCATCTCACTGAGCCCCTCGCTGTGGACCCCATCATAGACTCCCGTCCTGAAGCTGCCAGTCTGAAACAAGCGTCCATGGAAGAACAATGTAAGTCCACGTTTTAAAAAAGCGGGCTGGGGCTCTATTTGGCAGGGGTTGCCAATTCTGGTGCTGGAGTACTACTGCCTTGAACATTTTAGTGTGTTCGCTGCTCTAAAGCATCCACTTCAATTCAGGAAGTGCTTGTTAATTGGCAGACTAGTTGGATCAGGTGTGTTAGAGAAGGGAAATCACCAAAACATGCAGCTCGGGGGTACTGCAGGACCAGGACTGGGAACTACTGCTTGACGGAAAGTGGTTACCATGATGAGTGCACTTACTGTGAGACGGTTTCTTCAGCTGTATAAATTCAAAAAGCCCACCTGCTTACGCGTATCAGCATGCCTCATTTCAAAGTCGGACAGAACTGTGTTGTCAAACATCATTTTTCACTTAAGCAGAGAACATAAACTATGTTGACCGACTCTTCCTGTGTCATGGAAGACTAAGCTAAATTGCACCACAGTGACCCTTCTGCCAACATACAGATTTCCAATGTGGCTACGCTGAAACCAGAGCTTCTTAACCACGAGGGATACCAACTATTTGGCCCAAACCACTTTGAAAAGATCCGTCTTAGAGAAGATATGTAATTATATTTGTATCTGTTTTACAAACACCGTAGCTTCATACACTGTGGTCATAGCAGTCTTGATCTCCATCTGTCTGGGTATGCCATTATGCAATTTGAAAGTAAAGGGCAGCACAGATGACAACTAAGGTGACAGTGCCCTAAACACAGGGATTGAGTTGACCTTTCTTCTCTGGATTTGTTTAGCTTCCCTACCGCTCCTTCCAGCAGACCAGTGTTTATTATTTTCAGACTCACAAAGGGAGACTACAATAGCCATGTCCCTAACAAAGTTACTGCTGCAAATCCAGAATCCAGGCAAACGACGACACGAAGGGAAAAGGTTTTGCTGTATATGGACGTTTTAGGTAACAGAGAGCCATACTTTCCCTGTGTTTATGTCCATTTCAACAGCTGTGTGGGAGGTTCTCCATTTGTTTAACAGAAGATGACACTGTCTTGTCTTTACACGGCTGTAAACCTGCGAATTTTCTAGATAAGGTATGGAATGCTAAGCGAGTCCATCCCTTATCCTAAGGACTGTTTCCTTTAGTCCATGGTTTAGTGGCACACAACGGCATCCGGGTGTGCAACCATGTCCGTGTAAACGAGAACCTTCTTGTCAGGTGAGGCAGAGTAAACTTCAGCAGAGTAACCTTTATGTCCGAAATACATGTACATTTTAAAAGAACATGATATGCTCCCTCAAAACTCTTGGAGCCAAGTAAAAGCTTGGGATAGTCTGATGCCCACTGCAACTGCAGAAAGCAAAAAAGTAGGTTAACTGTACAAAACAAACACATATTGAATCACTCAGTGGTTTGTCCATGATATAGTGCCTCGGTATTTCTTTGTGTCTTCAGTAGTTGTGAACAGCTTTTGGTGAGCTTTAGAGAAGTGAGATAAAAAAAGATCACGTAACCTGCTGGCTGATAGTTCCACAGGTGACTCCTAATGAAATTCAGCTCCTGTCTGACCACGCAGGCAGTCTGCACGCTACACAAAGGGAAGGCGTTAAGGATAACGCTATCATAACAAGAATGACAGAATTCTCATCACACCCTCGTAGCACACACTCCTATAAACACACCTCAAATTACCCTGACTTACCTGGCTCATGGTGCAATTTAATGGAATTTTCGGATTGTCGCTTCCTCCAATTACATTACTTTTTGAGTGGATGCATTATAATACAATTAGTTTTGGTTTTTTTTTTTTCCAAATGACACATGGTCTCGAGAGAGCTTTTCCAGATGTCATAATGCAGTCCATTTCGCTGACTTGTGAGAGAGAGAACTTGAGGGAGTTCCTTCTTTAATGAAATCACTGTGTATTACACGTAGATCAAAGGACTCTTCATCTTTCTCCTCCACGTTCAAGAGCAGGACAGAGCGTATGTTTTGAGTTTGCCGTTCAACAGATGTATCCTGCTGTACCTCAATGTCATAATCTAAATGCATTTTCTGTGTATTTAAGGGGAACAGAATCTAGAAAATAAAATCAGTCATCAAGTGAGGGACTGCATATCACCTTGTATCTTTACTCCTTTCATTTCAGGAAAAAGGAGCACATTAGCAGGGACAGTATGTGCTCACACACAGAGGACAATAGTTCTCAACCCTATTCCTGGAATACCCTAGTCTCGCTGGACCAGATGTGATCTCATAACAAGAACGTCTGGAGACAACCATGAGAAACTCTGGGGTAAATGTGGGTGGGACCGTAGACTTATTAGGGTCGAAAAAGGAATGATATTTCTAAACTTCAGTGTCTTGTGAAGGTGGCGCTTGAAGTACGAGGTGGTTCACTTTTTGAAATTGTCAGCAAAGCCTCTCGTCAGCCCATGGATGTAATGTAAGTTAGTATGGCAGAAAAGCCCCCCTAGAAAATTTCAATTAAGCAGTAGTATTTGCTAGGACTTTAAAAGAGCACAGACTATCTGGGGGTAAGGCTTTAGAGGGGGTGCACCCTTGTTTGCCGCAGATTTTACAGCAATCCGACACCAAAAGTTTAACAAGTTGTCCTTAGATGTGTATGTTGTTATGAGAACAGATCTGGCCCCTTAAGACTGTCCTGCACAGTTATTTTCTCTGCTCTAACACACCCAACTCAACTTAGGAAAGGCTTGTCAAGAAGCTGAGTAGTTGGTTCAGAAAACATGAAAAAACGCAGGGCAGGGCAACTTGAGAATCAGGGTTGGGAACCTCTGATATAAGGCATGGCAACTCAATACTCAGTTTCTGATGATTTCTGTTTTGTCTCTTCAAGATGACATCAACGGCCTCTATCCGGAGCAGTTTGATGATGTAATGGACTTCATTGAAGCGACCATTGGCAGATTACGGAGGTCCCCTGCGGTGGAAGGTGGCTTGGAGGGCCGGAAGGACAAGGGGAGACAGAGAGGGGCAGCAAACACAGAAAGAGGAGGACGTGGACGTGGAGAAAGAAAGAAGGGTCGAGGACGGGGAGGAGGCCGAGGGAGCAAAGGGGGTCGAGAGGAACTGGTGAAAGGTCAAGGCCGTGGGTGCCTTCTCAAAGAAATCCACCTCAATGTAACAGACTTGGGGTTGGGGTACCGGACCAAAGAGGAGTTGATATTCAGGTACTGCAGTGGTCCTTGTCACGATGCAGAGACCAACTATGACAAGATCCTGAACAACCTCACCCACAACAAGAAGCTGGACAAAGACTCGCCTTCGAGAACTTGCTGTCGGCCGATCGCGTTCGACGATGATCTCTCTTTCTTGGACGATGACCTGGAGTACCACACTCTCAAGAAGCATTCCGCCAAGAAGTGTGCCTGTGTCTGACTTGAGGATGCGCAAGTGAGAGGGGGAAAAAAAGACACTTGGATGAAACGCAGGAGTCTCGCACTTCAGAGGGCTTGAGGCCAGTGCAAAGACTAATGCTGCTTCTCGGAGGGAAAGTGCAGGGCTTGAGTGTGTCATAGCTTATTCTCCAGACACCCAAAAAGCACAGCCCGAGAAAAGCTAGCAGCGCAGAGGCACACGACAGATCTGGTGGAAGTCTTTCAACCCAAAAGAGTGAGATTCAAGAGCGAAAGCTTCAGGAAAAAGTACTCTAGCTGAGGAGCAGCGACTAAGTATTCACTTTGTTACCAAACAAAACCAGAGCATTTCCTTATAAGTGTGGCTTCAAATGTAAATGATATCTAAATGGCAACAATAACATACTTCATCAGCAAGTCACAGACAAATCACAACCCGACAGCTGTATCGTTGAAGTATACACAAACACTAATTTAGGCAGTGTGTGTGGTAGCGTTTTGGATGGGTGCTTTGCTGTAAGTGAGTTGGAGAGCCTGTGGACAGCACAAATTTTATGGATCTCTCCATGAACTGCAGACAGTGGTGGTCATGCCATGCCGACCACAGCGGACCTCAAACGTTTACATTCAGAAAGTCCGAGCGCCCTTCTCAAGACGCGGACTGACCCCACGGCAGCCGTGACAGACTCATCACAAAAATGTTTAATATTCAGAAAGTTATCTATATATATAGTATATATGAAAAGCGTATTTATTGAAATTTAATTAACTTATTGTTATTTATTACGATCCATTGTATTAGAGTGTTTTTTTTCTTATTTATTTGTGGAGCTTTTTTTCCTCCGTCTTGGATGGTGCCAAAGTGGAGCATGTGTTTCTAAGGAAAAGCAGATGACGTGATAATCTAGCCTCAAGGTTTTAGCTGTAAAATAATCACTCACTGATTATAGGACATTAGAACCCAGTCTCACCTCTTTTGTTGGCTAAAACGAATGGTACAGTCAGACCTCATTTCAAAAATAATAACCAGATAACTTAAGGACAAGTGGACCAACTGTTCTTTGAAAGGGAAAAAAAAAAAACTCAGTTATATTTAACAGCTTGCTATACTCTTCACCATTACTGTAATTTTACATTGCTAAGGAAAAGAGAATCTAAATTTGGAGATATGGGGGGGGGAGGGGGTGCACAGCCTGTGGTAGACCAGTCAATGTTTACTCGAATGGAACAGTTTTAGCAAAACGTTAACATTGGCTCTCCAACTGCTCTACACCAATTATCTGTTTGCAAGAGAAAATACAGCTCCTGCCCAGTGTGTTTATTCTTAGACATAATAAATTCACTACTGGGGAGGTTTCTAGCATAGCTACACGGTGCCCCATGGAGACCCAAAAATCACAAACAGACAACATCCTTCTGAATCAAGCGGGGATTTGAAAAGTGCTCCAGCTACCTAACGTCTAGGAGTTCCTCCTGAGGTCACTAAGGCCACCTCAGCAGCTTGTCGGCCAAGTCTTAGCCCCCTTGATCTGGGTTTAGAAAACGATCCCCAAACATTTAACTTAAGCTGCTCTGATTGTCATGGCTCCCTGGTGTTTAATACCATTTAAGCAAGATCTGCTTCTGTCTTCCTCAGCCAAATTGAAATAAACCTCCTTAACTGAAGATAAAACAATTGGGAAGGCTGCCCCGCATCCAAGCACATGCCTGGAATAAAACGAGGACAGGCTTGGTCTGAAATCCAGATAGTAAACACAAACACGCACTCTGAAACAGGACTTTCATACAGAGTAGCACGCACTCTCAGAAACAGCTGGTGATGCCTACGTCACAAGCGTTGAGAGAGCAGATTTTGGTCTCTGCCACGCAGAAAGACCCTGGGGGAGCGCCTTGACAATTCCGTGGATTACGGAGCAAAATCAGGGCTCACACAACGAGCATGGAGCTAGCTTTACTCTATAATCCCTTATATACAGTACACAGCACAAAATCCACACAATTCAGATGGGGTATTTAGGCCAAACTACAACCTCACCCCCCCAAAAAATCACAAGTTAGCTCCATTTAACTTGGCATTGTTCATCAGCTGTATCTCCACAATCTTAAATAGCAAACATTAATGAGCCTTTTCAGAAGAGAGAAAATACAAGAGTGCGCTCAATAGCTCAACTGCTTGGCTCCATACCTAACACGCATACACAGTTGTGCATGCTGTGTTCTGTACTCCTCTGTCCTGGTGTATGATGGTTTGCTCAAGTGTTAAAGTGTTCTGTTGTGACTGAAGTTTGTGGATGCTTCTGAGGTGCTCTTAAGGTTGTGGAACCTTAAGGGAATCTTAGCACGCAAAGTAATGTTAAAAAAAGAGATGTGACGAGAAACAATTTCCAGTAAGAATTTGAAGGGAAGCAGATTGTAACTTTTCCATCCTGCAGTGTGTTGTCAAGTCCTGTGAAAAGTTGTCTTGTTTTGTGTTACTGAACCAAAGCTCTCTACAGACTTTATTTTTGTACAATATTCATTTTATAACTTTTTACAGAATAAAACTTGTTTCTATCACTTGGATGATTACATGTTGAGAAATCACAAATGTGCAAATGATGTCCTAACATTAACGTGTGCCAATACTCTTAAGGTAATGAAAAAAGAATTTTTTAAACATCCCACAAATGCAGACTAAGTGTACTTAATCATCGTTTACCGAATATTACACTGAAAAAAATTCAAACAAAGAAATGGACAAAATTACAGATAAAATTGAGGCTTCAAAGTGGCTCTTATTACTGCTTTTAGTAATGAAGTAGTGTATAGTAGGCCAGTTCAAAACTGCTCCCTAGTAGGTCCACATTTTTGCTTCAACTTGCAACACATAACAGCAATACGGTTAGGAACCACTGCTATAACATACATTTGTCCATTTTAATAGTGAGTGATGACTCAGTTATGCAGTTTGCACAGTGCTGACTGGTCAAGTATATGCTTCTATTCTACTACTGTTCTATTACTCTATTACTTCAGACACCAAACGTCTTCACTCAGTAACAAATTTGCCTTCTGGGCTGAACTATTGCTGTAAGATATGCTAGTAGTCAGAGCAGTACTGAAAGGAAAAGAGAAGGACACTTGGATCTCTGGGTTCGAGCTGGACTGAGGTGTGACGAGGGGCTGTAAGAATAAACCAGGCAGAAGAAAGCTGTCCAGCTCTTCAACTGCTGTTCTGCATTCCTGAACGCAGGCCCAGGATTCTACGGTAAACAAAAGCGGGTTGTAAAGCTACACGGTGCAGTAAATCTGGGCACTTGGAGGAAATGTTTCCACCGAGCTGAGGGCTCCGCGCAGAGAGAGGTAGTGCTGGGGCTGGGTGGGTGGGGGTGGACAGAGCTGAAGATTCGTACAGAGCTTCCTCCACCCTGCCTCGCAGCTGGTCTCACCGTCACAGCAACTCTCAGCAGACGAAAACATGACAATTCCAGAATAAAAATGAGCCACGTGAAGACTGTCAGTGCAGTGCCAGTGCAGTAGGAACAAGGTACCAGGAAAGATCTGGAAGTGGTTCAGTCCCTGAAGTACCCACAGACCAAGACCAATGATCAATTAAGCATGAGGAAACTCTGGACACAGCGTGTTCACCATGAATTAATTTGGCTAGATGGAAACACGATGCCCTCGAAAAGTCTGAGAACATCTTGGCTCACTGTTATGTTTCAATTAAGTAAGAACCATCCCTGCAGGTGCAGTTAGCAAAAACATTTATTAACTTTTACTTCATGTGTCCTCCTTGGTCTGAAGATAAGCCTAAATAAAGATCTGAGTTTTCTTTTCCAAACTGCTGAAAATCTTTTGCCACAAAGTTGGTTTGATCATTTGAAAGGTTTGAGCGCTGACATCAAAACAAGGAGATAAAATATTTGCACTCTGGCATTAATTTCAAGGTAGTACTTTAATCAGTTGTTCTGCCAGTTGTGCAGTTCTGTAGTTTTCTGTTTAATATGCTAAAACCATTACAAACTGCCAAGGGACACACTGAATATGGATATTGTGGGCTGAGGTCGATATCCAATATTTATAAAATATATATGTATAAAACAAACATTTATTAAGTGTAGGAACTGCATCTTCCCAGATTACCATTTCAGACAAATGCAATATTAATTTGTAGAGGATTATAAATGCAGAAAAATGAATAAAATGCAAATATTTTAGCACAACAGCACCTGCTCATACAGAGTAGTTGAATCAAATCAATCAAAGCTATGTTCACCTCGTAGTAAGCGGTCAGGCAAATACTACCGCCTGCCATTTGAGCGCAATGTGAAAACAAGACGAGGTCCACCGACGGGTTCCCAGTGACATATAGGGGCCGCAGCAGGCCCCCCAAAGCCGCAACACACCCTTCAGCCCACAACTAAAGCAGCAGGATGAGCGCAGTAGGCATGGATGTGGTGCGTGACATCAGCCAGTGCAGCATTCCGGCATTCCACGGCCAGGAACAGACACTGGAGCAGGGTGGGCAGCTGCTGACATCACCACTCAGAATAGGCTCTGATGGATTAGGCCGCAGGGCCGGCTAAGCCGCGCTGCTTCGCTACACATTACCGTTTTTGCGGAGACTTAAGCAAACGCTTTCTCCTCTTCCTTCTGGCTTGGGGGGGCTGCGAGGACAATTCGCTTTCGAGGGTTTTGTGGTTAGAACATTCTTTCGTCAGCATCTCAGGAGATGGCTGCCACAGCTGGTCCTAATGGCCCCTTCTCTGCAGTAATTACAGCGAGAGGGGATTTGGAAGGGGGAGAAATTCGTAGCTCAGAGGATTATTTATAGGTCTATATGGTAGTATCCATTGACTAGAAGCAATGGGGAAAAGGGAGGGGGAAGGGGGAAGGATTCTTATCCATGCATTGGCCCCAGGAAATAGCTTTAGATGGGCTCGAACAGAAGTAAAACAAGTGCATTAAAAGGGATCTTTGAAACTGATAGTATTTCAAGTTCCTGTGTCTAAAAAAAAATCCCCCCTGAATTTCTGCTAGGTTAGCCAGAGGGTAAATTCCATTGGGTTGTAATGAGTAGAAATATGTAATCCACGTATCCCACAAGCCCCACCTCATTACCCGCCCCATCCATCACCTATAGCCTATTATAGGTACTAGATTATGCAACAGATCTAAAAGAAGGCATAAAAACATTTCTTAAGGAATAAATATTGGGTCTCAGAATTGCACTGACAAAAGGTCAAAGTCTGAAAAACTACAAATAACAAAAACTATGCAGTAATTCACAAATATGAAAAATTTTTAAGGAAACATGCACACAGAGGAGTCCTGTTTGAAGTAACTGACAAATTACGTTCAAATGCCTTTCATGGCAGACCCATGCAGAGATCTGAGTCATCGATTGCCAGTACGAAAAGAATCAATGGCAGGCATTTTGCTGCTGCAATATTGCCATGTCTATTTCTCTGAGCAACTGCCAGCACTAAAAGGTAAAAGTGCTCTCCCAAGTGATGCTTGAACAGCTAGAACTGGCAAAAAAAGGGAAGTAGCTAAAAATTATTTCAAAATAAATATTTACCGAATGCAGTGACTCACCGGGAGAAAACCAAACACCTCTGGACTGACTAAGATAGACAGTGCATTTGGTGGAAAAGTCTAGGCCTGAGATGGGAGGAGGGAGGTAGAAAGATGGATTGCGACTCTTGAGATTCAGCAGATTGGAATCTGTTGTGACACAGCAGCCTCCTGTTTGTGTACAGGCCGGGAGTCACAGAGCTGGACCTCGGCACAAACATCTGAGCTCACCCTGCTGGAAGGCCACAAAGTGGTAATCGAAACGACGCGGCAACTGCAGAGGGGCTCCGAGGGCGCCCTGCAGCTCGAGGAAAGAAAAAAAAATATATATATATCACATTCCTTTATTAGAGAAATTTATGGACGGTCACACACCATTTAGAGAGGGCTGATCTATGTTTTCCCACACATCATGAGCAAAAAAGGTGAACAAACACACAGCGGAGGAAAAACACACACAAAAGCAAATGTAATTGTCGGCTGGTTTTGCCAACGCCAACACTTAAATGACAAAACGCAAACTGACCACACACAGTAGATGTTTATTTTTAAGCACGACAGAAAACTACGAATGGAAAAGAGAAGAAAAAATGATATCAAAGCCAAGTTATATCCAAACCACAGTGTGTACAACTAGGACTTCTGCCCATTATGGAAATCAATTACAAATGGGCTCTGCACAATGCTGAGGCTGTCTCTTCACTCGCTCTCTCATGCGCACACACATACACTAAAACTGGATGAAAAACTAAGAGTTTGAACACATTTTTTCGGAGGTTACAAACTCCACCAGATTCTGTGTCCATGAAAACTCTCCACACGGAGAGAGAAAGGGAAAACAAGCGCTCTTCTTTAGATCTTGCGCTTCTTCCACTCTGGCTCCTTGTCAGTGTCCTCTTCTTCGGATTCCTCTTCTGCAAACACAGGATCCGGCTGGGTCCTACGCAAGAAACGAGACAAGAACCACAGTCAACCCGTTTCTGCAACATCTCTCAAGTGTTATTTAGAAATGACCCTTGGTACAGTGCACTAGCCTCCATTCCTACTGTATTTTAACTTCATTTATCTCAAATGTTGTCTTTGATTTCAGTCATTTCTTCCTTTTCAATTGAACGTTTGCAGAATACTGATTGATATCTCTCAGCCAATCACAACAGTCACTATACACTACTTCATCCATCAAGCGAAGGAAGATAAAACAAAGGACAAACAGCAGGGGCAGTACATTATTTCAAACTTATTTGGTTAATTGAAGAATGTTTAATTTTCTGTGAAAATATTTTTATTAAACATTTTCAGTAAATAAACAGACAGACCAACAAACAGACAGACATACAGAAAGACGCAAATTCATCTAAAATAAATCCAATTCAACAAGGTCCTGTCCCAAACTTCTTTAACAGAGTCAACTGCCGCAGACCAAGCGACCATACTATCAGCCTTGGCTCGATTCAGTCTGGCAGTGACCTGCTCCAGCACCATGACATCCATAAAATAGAGCAAGTACGCAGATCTTAAGTGCACACTCAGTTCTGCACAAAATTTCAAAATTGCTGTCTTTACAACTCTCAGAGAAGCCATTACTATTTTCTTTTGACTGGGTTTCAAGCTTCCACCGCAGGGGTCCATGCTGCCAAGGACCTCCCTGCCAGCTCCCACAGCCTATATGGCACTGCACCGGTCCCCTATGCTGGGTCTTTTTGCGCTGAGCCTGGCCGGGTTACGCGGGCTGCCCGGCCACCAGGTGCTCGCCGAGGGACACTACCCCCAGGCCTGGCTTCAAGGGTAGATTCCGGTAACCCTCTCCCGGGCAGGGTACACAATCTCGTGTCGCCTAGTCAAGGAGGATTTTGGATAAAATTTGTCTCGGCCTTCCCTCCAGACTTGTTCACCTTGGGAGACTCTACCAGGAGCATACTGCTCCAGACAACTTGGCTCTGAGGATCCCTAGACCACAGTTCCCTAGGCCCCAATCCAGGAAGGGTTACTGTGACCCTATCTGGATTTAGTGGTTAAAGATGATGATGATGATGATGATGGGTTTCAAGTATCGAAATGTCTCCGAGCAGAAACAAAGCTGGATCTAAGGGCAGGTCTACTTCTAAAAGAGTAGTGAGCAAGGAAGCTGTCACTTCCCAGAGATGCTTCACTAGAAGACACTGCCAGAAAACATGAATAAATGTTCCGAGAGCATCTGAAGAGCATTTAGAGCAAAGTGTAGCAGTGGAACAATTCACTTGGAATGCCCGGCAAGAGGTTACATAAAATTAGTGTGCCAGTTTATTAGTGTATCAGCTGATGGGCAAAGACTTTCAGATGAAGAAAATAAAAAAAGAAATCGGATCCCAATCCAAATCTGACTCATCTATGGCTGGGTCACGAGCAAAGTGTTAGAAATAACTTCGTTATTTGTTAGTAGATATCATGCCCCGGGATAAGAATGTCTACTTCAGACAAACGCTGGCCTGATCATTTGGAGGTCGTTGGTGTTTTACTTCCATTTCCACAGCTGAAAAAGTTCTAGATTAAACTCCTGTGGAAGACCCATCTTACTGTGACAACCATACAATGTTTTTTTCCAAAATGTACACCTCTGTACCTAGATGTTCCTTTGCACAAGAACTTTTTAATGCTACAGTTACTACCAGGTGGTTCAAACTGAAAGTTTGACAGATAATAACTAAGAGAAGTGGGACTTGTTAGAATTTTATGGTAATCCAGTGGTCAACATGGCTCTTTCAATCTTCCCGTAAAGCATTTTGTAGACTTGCTTTTAAAAGAAGCTAATTTATTATTATATTTATAATGCAGGATATAATCCAAACGTCTGAGTGTGTTCCTACATCTGTTACAGCGTTTCCGCTCAATGAGGAAAATGAACATACACAAGTAGGTGCCTTGACAGATGACGGCAATATAGTCGGCCTGAAGTTTGAAAAGCGCTGGGAAAATGCTGGGAACTGCTGTTACTACTCTAATCAAGAAAGACTTGCCAAAGCTTCTGGGAGAGCCTGAATAAGGCCCTCAGTGAAGGAGATTAAGAGAGAATGTTTGGGGGAAGGAGTGGTAGAAAAAGAGACAGATAGAAAGGGAAAGCAGGAGTGATTGAGAGAGAGACTGAGAGAAAGGGAGAGAGCGCGATAGGGAGGCAGGGGGATTAAACCATTTCCCTACTTTCATCACTCTATTCAGCACAGTGATTAAAATGCAACATCTGGTCCTGGGTGAGTCATGGTGGGGACGCAATTTCACCAGAGAAACGGGTACATAATAAAGAGAATGCACTGAGAACAATTGTGCCGACACCTCAGAGAAACCTTCAAGTTTTAAAAGCTGGACAAATGCTCCACATACAGACCAAAATTTGTTTCCCTCACCTTATCTTAGAAGTGCTGCAACAGGACAGTAATTAATCGTATTGTGATAAAACACATAAATACACTGCATAGTTTTATGAGGATTTCGTGGAAATCATCAGTACTGAACGAACAATGGCCAAGTGCCTGTTTCATAACAAAGAGAGCATAATTAGCAACATTTAAAAACAATTTAAAGTATAACTCAAAACTGCTAGCCAGTACATGACTAGCAAACACACACTTGAACAGTTGTACACACACAAAATTATAATATTTTGCATTAAAATACTAAAGTTTACTTAATTGCAGAAAATACATGTTTCATTAGTGACAATTCTTTAGATAGGATCTGCCTATGGAGTAAAATTCTTTGTTTTGGAAGTGACATGGAAAAAGTGGGACAGAATTTTTTGAATTACTTTTTTTATTTAAAAATTAAACTCCTGATCTATCTAAATCTTTCAGCTTGAATTTAAAAGGATTCAAAAAGACCTTTAAAAAACGTAAAAGTCTTATTTTCTCAAGTGTAAATTTAGGGGTTATGGTTTGGGACAGACAACTCCCAACACAAAGTCCCCTCTAAATTATGATTTTGATTATGAAATTATGATTAAACTAATGCAATTAATGCCTTGAGTTTAAATAGATCATGACATAATCCTTGTAAATATATATGGTCTGAATACTTAATTGTTTTTTACTGTGGGACTGCAGTTTGAACTAATTTGATACAAAGGTCCATATGTGCATGTATATATAGTTTTTTGTATATACATGCACACCCACCTTGTACCTACATTTATTGCCTATTTTATCAGCTCCACTTACTATATAGGTGCACTTTGTAGTTCTACAGTTACAGACTGTAGTCCATCTGTTTCTCTGATACTTTGTTAGCCCCCTTTTACTTGTTCTTCCATGGTCTGGATCCTCACAGGACCACCACAGAGCAGGCGTTATTTGGGTGGTCATTCTCAGCACTGCAGTGACACTGATGTGGTGGTGTTGTGTTAGGGTGTGTGTACGAATGGATCAGACAAAGCAGTGCTGCTGGAGTTTTCAAACACTTTACTTATTGTCCACTCTATTAGACACTCCTACCTTGTTGGTCCACCTTGTAGATGTAGAGTCAGAGACGATAGCTCATCTGTTGCTGCACAGTTTGTGTTGGTCATCCTCTAGTCCTTCATCAGTGGTCACAGAATGCTGTCAGCTTGATATTTTTGGCTGGTGGACTATTCTTAGCACTGCTCTGTCTGATCCACTCATACCAGTGCTACCACCACGACACTGGTGTCACGGCAGTGCTTTAATACCTACTCTGCGGTGGTCCTGCTGTGGTGGTCATTGTACAGCTACAAAATGCAATATGGTAAGTGGATCTGATAAAAGTTTCAATCAGTGTAAAGATGTACCTAATAACGTGACCAATGAGTGCACAAACATCCATAAGGAAAAAAAAAATGAAAACAGAAAAAGAAAAAAAAACAAAAAAAACAAAAAAAAACACATTACTGATTAAATCTACTTTCAATAAGACAAAATTGAGCTGACAAATAAAAAAAATAAATACAACTAAAAACATAAATTTAGGTTTTGTCGTCTACTGTAGCCACGAAATCCAGCGTCCTTCACAATGGAGAACGGCTGGACATCTAAGGCAACGAATTCCAGATTTTTTTGTTTTTTAGTTATGATATGCATTTTGGAACTGTCATTCATGATTTTTTTCTCATTTAAAAAAAAACTGTGGTTAAAGATGGTGTCAGTGATGGTGTCAGTCATTTCGCTCTGTTTCTGTAATTTTGTTGTATTCTACATTTCGAGCAGGATGTTGCATTTTCATTAATAGTGTGGTGGAGAAGGTTTTGGGTGTTTTACTCCCTTATGATGCTCAGCATGAAGAGTTATTACAAATCACTTATCTAATGTCCCACACAGAAAGCAGCAAAGAAGCAAATAGTTCCACAAAACCGAAATGTTCACTGTTGATCTACTACTGCTCAAACTGTGAACATGTGCAGGAAAGTCAAGGGAACAAACAGCATTTTTAATCATTACTTTTCATTTTCATTACCAAACCATTTTTAAGTTTTACATTTTGATGCTTTGTTGCAGGCCAACTTAATCTTTGCTTTTTCACGAAAACGTTCAGCTGTTTTTCTCTTTCAGCAGCCAAAATTTAATGCATCCTTAATATTTTTTTTAATGTGGCACTGCTGATGTATTTTGTTTCAACTCACCAATCTTCAGAAAAAGAAATAACGTGATGCATTTCGTGTATCTTGAAAATGTCTTCATAATCGTGATGTTGTATTTTAGCCTTAGCGCCCACCCCTCCCTTATCTTTAAACACTGTTGGTCCTGTAAAGGGCAACAGTGACCTCACCACCTGCTCTGCGTAGTTCAAAGAGATTACAACCCTGCATGCTTCATGGAAGCACTCAATTAACCGCACACTAATGCTAGCGCGTGGTCCGGTCAGGTCCAGCTGCCATATGCCACACACCGCTAGGACCTAGAGATGGAGTGTTCTCCAATGAGATCATCGAGACCACTGGTGATGGTAACTAGCAAGGAAGTATAACCGAGGACACATCGGGGGAAAGACATGGTATGTGTAGTAGCAGAAGCAAAAGATAGCAGTGACACAGGACACAAGAGAAGGTATGCGGTTGACATGCAATCACTATCCAGGTTCTCGAATGTCTGCTGCATAGTATTTCTATGTGGGCAGGTCTCCGAGGTTATGTGTGCATATGTGTGTGTCTGCGCCTCACCAGTCTGCTCTCCGACACCTGAGGAAAGCAATTAAAGCTGCACGACAAAAGAAGAAACAGGATCGTTCGGCCATGGAACCCTTTTCTGTGCCAAAGTGCTACAATAGCTCTTGTTAGTGTCAACAGTGTCATTAGCTGTAGTAATTGAGGGATGTGTGTGGACGAGGACGTGCTACTCTAAAAGGCTGCGCTCCGTTGTAATGATGCGGATAAGGTTACAAGCTACCGTTCATACGTCAGAGTCACCAACAGTAGCCTATATTTCAAATTCACGTCTCTGTTAGGCTGCAACAGAACATGTAAACGTCTGTGTCACAAAATTAAATTATAGCACACTTAGGTAATCCCATGGATTACTCAAATGTACCACACTTGAATTTCCATTTTCATTCATCATAACGTTGAGATTTACATAATGACTTAAATGTCAAGGGCTTTAAAGCAATTCCCATTACATTTTTCAGAACTGAAAACACCTGCTTTGAGAAAGCGGAAGAACACAAATCAGAGTTTTAAATATTTGTCTTAACACGGCTATTTATGTTTTCCAAATAAGTTTTGTGTTCCGTTTGTCAAATATGCAACCGTTCAAAATTCAAGTTTGTGTTCACACAGCCCACGCTCTTTTAAAAGATTTTACCCCTTTAGTTTCTTTTCTTACTTAATTTTCCTCCTCCCACAACAGTTTTTAATCTGACATGCAAGAGCCATCCATTTGTGACATAATCTCATGAGACGCTCATGAAAACATGAATTAGCAGAAAGTAACACAGTGAATCGATTCAGCAAAGTACAACCCCAGTTCCAAAAAAGTTGGGACGCTGGGTAAAATGTGAATAAATGTAAATAAAAAACCGAAAGCAATGATTTGCAAATCTCATACACCCATATTTTATTCACAATAGAACACAGAACACATATCAGATGTTGTAAATGAGACATTTTACCGATTCATGAAAAATATTAACTCATTTAGTATTTGATGGCAATAAAATATGGATCTATGAGATTTGCAAATCATTGCATTCTGTTTTTATTTACATTTATTTACACTTTACACAGAGTTCCAACTTTTTTGGAATTGGGGTTTTACATATTAGTCCAGCCAAAAGCATGTTTAATTTGTTTGTATAGTATATTTAATGCTGTATGTTCAATATGTTATATGTTTGATGTGTTGTGTGTCACTACACAGTAACCGGCACTACAGTGGAAGATTTAATTCAGCGTTCGGGGCAATGATGGGCCAGTTCAGGTCAGTGTTAGACAGAGTTTTGTTAGTTTCTGATTTGATGGTGTCGTTCAAGTTGGTTTCAGACAGAATTTTGTAAGAATTGGGTTCAGACTCAAGATGCAACGTTGTGCCTCAGGTCAGACTCGGACGGAAATTTCTCAGGAAGTTCAGACCAAAACTTAATTTGTAGTCTTATATTTTTACTCTTTGTTGTCTGCCAATTAAATCTGCTTTTTTCAGTCACAAATTTCAGCTGTTTGCCCTTTTCAGTGGCTGAAATTGTAGTGCAGCCCTGCTATCAAATTTCAGAAAAACTAATACTGTGAAGCAAATCAGGCATTGGGAAAAATGTCTTTCTGCATTGCTAAAACTAAGTTTAAATCACAATGTGATGTGTGTGTTACGTCAGACTTCAAGCCCTAATACAAAGTGCACAAAAAAAGAACCAAAGCTGCCTTCTAGGGTTGTACATCTCTGACTTCTTACATAATTTGATTCACTGAAATTACAGTTCTTTAGTAAAATGATTTGAATGCATCATGAAATCACAAATTTTACCATAATTCAATTTGATTACACTACGTACACAAACATGACAGAAGGAACAACATTACTGTGCAACAGTTCCAAGCATCTAAAAAATAATACATAAAATATTTGCCTGTGCAAAAACTCCATACATTACAATAAATACAAACAAATAATCCACTGTGATTTCCTCTCCTCAAGGAAAGACACAATTTGTCTAATCAATCCATCAAATTAAATCAAATGTGCTCCTCGTGGAATTTAACACATCCATTCGATGGCTAGAGTGCAGCAAGAAGTCACAAACCACACCTGTGTTCTTTTAACTATACGCTATTCATCAAACCAACATGTTAAATCACTTTTTGAAAAACAATTCTTGATACATTTTACTATATTTATGTTTATTTGTATTTATTAGTGTTTTGGCAAGAACTGTATTTGCACAGTAGTGGAATACATAAAAATAAAAACAATAAGCTTTTTTATTTATTTTTATGGTTGAAAATAGAGGATTTTGGCCAAAACAATGAGAGAACACTATCAAATATTTGAGTATATGTAATATAGCGATTGTAACTCCCCACTAATACAGCTTACAAAGGGTCTGATCTAGCTCTGCTATCTGTTACTAATCAGGCCTTGTCAGGGTGTACTCTTTTTGGACAAGCTGGTGGGTGAACAGACCACCTCTGAAAGCAGCTCCATTCCTTCATCCCAGTCCAGGTAAACATCCCGTGGAGGAAAGAGGACGAAGAAGAGGGGGAGAGATGGAGAGATAGCAGGCTGACAGCTTCTTATCAGCCAACGCTCCGGGAGAAAGCATTTTTTCAGTTCTTTTGGGAACTAAAAGCTACCCTCTTAACTGTGATGCACATGCCAAAAATGTCAATACAAAAACCAAGACAGGTGCCTTTGCTTATAGTCTGCAGTCCCACATTTTTTAACGATATATAAACAGAGCATAAAATTAGGGCTTCGACAGCCATTAAAATTCCAAAAAGTTGGAAAAAGGTCTTACTGAAACACCTATTTGGCAAAAGACGCAATTTTCTCCACAAACGAGCCAGTGCACTTTGATTAAAGGGGGATTCCGGCCTAAAACTAATATTTAACATGTACGTTGTCATGGTATGCTCTACTTTGCAATGTAGCATTGTATTACAATTTTACATACTGTTTTCATGTTTTCATGAACATGTTCTGTCCTACTACAATACCCAGCTTACAGTATGCAAATACATCACATAACAATTGAGAATCCCTGTGGTGCCAACCAATCCTGACTGCTAACCTAGCCAGTGATCTACAGGCTAACGAATACAACCAAGCTGGTAATAGTATAACTCTTAGCTTGGTTGTTGAACAAGATTCAAATGTAAAATGCCTGTGGAGTTCAGCATTACAGTGGAAAATTTGTAATATGAACCAAACTCAGGATAGCTAGGTAGCCACCTTGCTAACATTAGCTTTTACAATGCTGTCCTCCTCATCTATTTCTGTCACTCAAGTCATCTATTCTGTCCGTTGTAACAGCAATTAGAAAACAAGCAAGGGAAAAAAAAAAAAGAAACGTAAACAGCCTTCCCTCAAAAACCACCCTAAAGATGTTGTAGTTCCTACAACCCTTAAGACACATCGTCCAAAGTATCTTTTCTTGTTTTTAAACCAGAAAATCTCGCTCTAGAGACTGATGCACCGCCGTAGGAGGCGAGCAGACAGGTTTACAATATGTAGCGATGGTTACATCTTTGATTTTGGCCAGCGAGTCCTTTAAAATAATGAATCCAGTGAGAAGTCTGTAAGAAACATGTCACAAATAAGCATTTTAGAAAAACCTGACAGGCCTCTTAATCTAACTAATACTATTTTCCATTTCCTCCAGATGACCTTTGTCTCTACTACAGCTCAATCTGCAACATGAGTCATCTCAGGTAGTCCTTCAAACCTGCACAGCTTTTTAAACATTCATGCATCAGTCAGCCAAGGTGTGACAACAGGGGTACGATACGCAGGTGCAACCTGAGAGGAGTCACGCACACATGAGTACATACACACACACACATACACACACACAAACAAACATGCTCCCTATCACACACATTCAAACACACAAAGACCCCTCAGCACACTCCAGTTACAGCAGCACTCGTCTACATCACTGGCCTCGTCTGCGTGAGGGGCTCCATGTTGCCTTTATGCCTGCCAGGTGGCTGTTTTTTTTCCTGTTTTCCTAAGACTCTAATCAGAGACCTGCCTGTCACTCTTTTTTCCTATCTCCTATCTCTTCACCCTTACCCTGTCAGAGTGATGTGAACCGACTGCGTGGTTACTTACTGCTCATAGGCCGGGGCGACCCAGTACGGGTTCTCAGCTGCATCTTTGGCGTGCCGCAGGATGGCCTCTCGGGGGTTGCTGTCGTCCGTCTTGTCCAGTGCAATGTTCTTCACGATGTAGGACGACAGGGTGCCGCCATGGGCTGCCACACGACCTCCTCTGCCTGCTCCAAAACAGGAGAAAGAAAAGGAAACGTGAGGCGAAATGCACACCCTTCTGAAACGTACAAAAACAACTCAATACTGCCTTAAATTAATTCGTTGTATAACACTCAGGGCTGGGCAAACCGGGCCTTCCTCCTTCACATGTACACGGGCCTAAACGTTAAGGAAAACATCCTCCCCCGCACAGTGAAAGTGTATTTATGTTGTAATTAAACATAGGATACACAACAATCTGATGGAGGCACAGAGATGGGCTGCTGGGTTCCTGTTCCATGATTAGGGAGCTGAGTGAGAACCCTCTGGTTAAAACCGTAGCCCGGCAAAAAAAATAATTTATGTAATTATCGCGTCTGTAGTCCATCAGCAAAGACTAGTTTTGTGTCCGAGGTTTAGTTGTGCACTGGAGTTATGAGGCTAAGTTAACAAGCAAGGGAACTTTAGAGCCTACAAACTGCCTAAATCAACACATACTTGCTTTAAACCAACTGAGTTGTTAAGTAATCTCAAATGGACTATCTGACATACTATCTACAAACACAGACAAAAATACAGACATAATTCAGAATTCAAGATAATTATTCCTACTTTTGATTGCTATACAAGCTACTTTTGTTCATTTTTACAGATACAGATTTATTATTTATTTTATTGCATATTCGTATTCATGTGAACAGCCCTACTTCAAACAGCTCTGGTCAAATTACATTAAGTGAAACACCTCGAACCTAACTATGCAAACAAGCTTCAAATTCTAGTGCACAGTTTCTATTTATTTGCCAAGTTAAACATTTTAGGAAAAAAATAAAACATGCAATTTAAAATGTGGCACTTTTGCACAGGCCACATTTTAGATTTTATTTTTTTCTGGTTGATTTGTTAAACTGTTGATTTCAGCAAATCATCAATAATCGCATATTAAAATGTGCATAACTGTGTTCTCCATAGAGGATGTGTTAACTTATTTTCATTTAGAGAATCAAATAAAAACATGTAACACACTCAAAATATTGCATACGATTATAGATATACCACTGTACACCAAGTCTGAGATCCTGATATAGCTTATAGCTCCAGTGTAAAACTAAAGAATGATACTCAGTACACAAAACATTTCTTGGAGGATGGACCATCTAAGGGGAACATTATGTAAATTTGCATTTGTTTTTTGTTTTTTTTTTACTTTCATCATCTCACTTTAAAGAGAGTTTGTGGTCCTGAGGAGGGCGGCCGTTCACCACTACTGACAGGACATGGAAAAGGTCGTGGAGGCCAGAACGCTGTCCCCGCAGTCAGCTGGGAGGGGCTTCCCGAGTCTGCGTCTCACTTTTTTTTTTTTTTTGTGGTTCTGTTCTGAAGGCTGACTCAAACAGAGCAGGGGAAGAGCCAAGCCAGTCCCTGCTGGTCCTCTGCCAAGTCTTTAATGTAATCTTACAGTGTGTTTACTTAAACCCGCAGTCTCAATCCCACAGAGGCCAGCCACAGCAGCCTCGGATCTGGAGGAACTGCAGCCAGGCGGGGACATAGCGGCTGGGGCCCGATGGGCCAAATACTTGTGTGTGTGTGTGTGTGTGTGTGTTACATCAGGGTTGGGGTTGTGTTGGTAAGGCAAAATCCACCATTTGATGGGGGTTTTACATCACCTGGACCAGACACAGGCGGCTCGGGCTTATGGGACCTCACAGGGTCGAGCCGGTCCTTCTCCAGCTGCTTCCTGGTGCTGCGCTGTCTTGCCTCTCGGAACATTGGCAGTGCATGGGCTAGGGAGAGAGAGAGACACACACACGCACATTATATATACATACATACATACATACATACATAAATGTACATAGGAAAAAAATAAAACATGCAATTTTTTTTCTCTCCACCATCCCTCTCTCTCTCTCTCAATGGCCCATCATTCCACTTCTCCCCTTGAATTTTCCATGGCTATCTGGAGATGCGTCACTCAGGTCAGCCTATCACGTTACTGCACAGTGAATCAGCACTTGTTAAACTGTGTGGTAAATACTTTGGTTGTTACTAGTGATGATTTCAATAATCGATTAATCGGTTCATTATAGTTTTGATCAATCGATTATTTAGGAAAAGAAAATAGTGCAGCCGGTATTCTGTCAATGTGCAAAAGGTTAAAGCACCTTATAAAATTAGAATTAAAAAGCAGGGCAGTAAACAGGTAATTCGCTCAGAAAAACACTAAGAATACAAATAACATTAATACAATAACATAACATTTTGCTATAAACCAAACTGACCATTGTTTATTCAAAATACATAAAAACTTCAACAGTAAAATATAGGCACTTGTCGTAGACCTTGAAATATTACATGAATACTTGAAATATTCAAAATGTAAATGTCCCCAGGTGCTCGGTCTTTTACACCCACCTATTTGCTTGAATTAGACACCTGGTTTTGTTTTTATTTGCTGCAAGTTCATTAATCTCAATTTCTGAGCTGATGTTAAGTGCTTATACTGGCTGAACTGCAGTTTGTTGTTCGGCGATACGACTGGTGTGAAACTGTGTGGAATTGTGTAGAACTGAGGTTCAACCGCTGTCCTTTAGATTGTTGCTGGGGTAGGAGAGTCGGAGTACACGTTACGTTGCAGTGCATGCTGGGGCCGGATAAGATTGTGTGTTGTGTGGGCCTTGTGTTTGACATATGGGATCTAAAACCAGCTTTGGGGAATTAATACTTCATTAAATTAAATGATATTTGTTGATTTTACAAGCAAAACACATTTATTGCTATAAAAACAGACACACACACACATTAGTGTTGCTGTGGTGGCGAAATCTCCCATCTCTAAAACGGTGATTTTACATGACAAAAGAAAAAACTTTCTTAAATTCGAATGGAATCTAACTGATTTATATGATTTATATGGATTTAATGGATAAATAGGATTTTGAAGTCATTTCTATTGGTCCATTCATCTCAAAATATTAACACAGCGTAAAGGGCAGCTGACATTTTCAAATTCTGCACAAAAAAAGAAAAACAACAAAAATGAAGACAAGTTTTTGTTCCAGTAACGACGGTATATAGATAGAAGCGAAGAGAAGCAAACCAAAACTCACAGACGTAAAGCTCACTCCAGAGCCTCTAACTGAGAAGGATGTAAAGTGAGTACTACACCCTTGAGCTCCATCATAGCAACCAGTGGGGGTTGTAAAGCTCGCTGTGTTTTTATTTACCTTTGATTAAGGTCTCCCGATTTCACAGTGTGTCAAACACAACCAAAACACATGACTGTGGGAGCTTGTGTTTGGTGCGTGCTTGTATATGTGTATGTGTGTGCGTTGCACTCCGGGGTCACAGGGAGAAACTCGGAGTAGGAAAGATGAAGCGATTTTCCATTCAGGGGCTCTGTTGTCACTGTGCAGTGTTAATTCTTCTCCTGCATGCTACATTAAGCAAAAAGGTTACTGGTGACACATTCAATCGTTCTTTTTTTTTCTCTCCACCATCCCTCTCTCTCTCTCTCAATGGCCCATCATTCCACTTCTCCCCTTGAATTTTCCATGGCTATCTGGAGATGCGTCACTCAGGTCAGCCTATCACGTTACCGCATAGTGAATCAGCACTGGTTAAATTGTGTGGTAAATACTTTGGTTGTTACTAGCGGTGATTTCAATAATCGATTAATCGGTTCATTATAGTTTTGATCAATCGATTATTTAGGAAAAGAAAATAGTGCAGCCGGTATTCTGTCAATAACTAAACATTTAATGTCACATACAAAGTTTCTTTAAACATTTTAAAAAAACATGGATTTTTCCTCCTTATGCATAATTCTCTTTCAAACAAAAAACACCTTCCCTATCCTCAAAATCAATCTGTATTGCCCTAAAAAAAAAAACACTTTAACTCAAGGTGAGAAAAGCGTAGAAACAAAGGAACAACACAGGGAGCAAATCTTACATGGCAGTCCTAGTATTATTATGGAGAGGGTCTGATTCTCCAAAAACTTTGCACTGCTATTCAAATAACATCTCATCTAATGATAAAGCAAAGATGAATGAATTAGCTTGTGTGGTTGGTAACATCATAATCAAACCTGATTTTAGCATACGAAGCAGCCCAGCTATCAGCCATGTAGGACCACAAAGCATGTTCCCCACTCGTCAAACAGCAGCAACTATGCATGCAACGTCAACGTTTCCAAAAACAGCCGTCCACATGAAACACAGAAAACGTTTTTTAAATCTCCACCCTGGAGAGCATTTTCCAAAAGCTCCGTTTTGAGTGAACTAAAAAGGTAATAAAATTTGGAGAGCGAATGTTTTAAAGAAACTTCCATGTCGGAATCAATGAGCAGGTCTGTGTGAATTAGCGCACTAGCAAGGAATGAGTATAATTTAGCAGAGCAGTTCAGATGAAAACACAGCTCATCTCTTCAGCCAACACTGTTTATTTCACTAAACTAAAACAGTTTGCTGAAAAACAGACAATGACATGCTGTTTTTAAATTTTGTCTATATGTTTACTGTGGTTTACTCACCATACTAAGCATTTTGCCATTCTCTGTCACGAATATGTTACTTCAGATCTTACAGAAAACAGTCTTTTAAAACAATGGTAAAGTGAAGTTTTCCCCACAGTTGTGCATAACACAACTACAGCCTCCCTCTTTCATACAAGTGATGTAAATGAGGAGCACAAAGTCATAACAACCAATCGATTAGATTCAACGATTTTTTATTATTGCCATTATCAATAAGGTTGATTAGTTAGGCCTAATTGTTAGCTCTGATTATTAGTGATCAAGTAACCTATCAAATTATTTTGATGACTAATCAAGCAATTAGAAATAATAGTATTCTAATAATAATAATGCCATAATAACAATGCATTAATTCCTTGTTATTGAAGAGCAACATGCTGATGCAGATCCTTGAATTCCACCCCCCCCAGTCCTTTGGAAATACCTGCAGAATCGCTTGTTATGCAGGTTCAGCTAGCTTTTATAAGAGGCGGCAGGACTCCCAGTGTTGTCTTTTTTGTAGAATGTTTTCAAAGTGTACAGACAGAAAAATGCCTTGGACTTGGTGTGAAGGTCCCACTATGCTAAAATTGTCTGTAAAAAAAAATCGTATAGGCCTTAACAGTCCAGCCCCACCCTCAATCGCTATCGACTATCGGTCGATCGCCTTTGAGCACGATCGGTGATCAGTACCGGCCCCAGCAACACTGATTGGTCCATCTCTACAAACAGTTGCTATGTTCTGATTCTGACTGCTAATCACTAACCTCGATTCAAGAAGAATGGGGAATTGTAATCGAATAATTTTTAAAACTGGGTAATCATGACAGCCCTGCTCAACACTACTATGAGCGCTGGAGATTATCCTTCATGGTATACACAGGGATGGGAGTTTGACGGTTATGTGAAACTGAAAGGAGTTATGTACAGATTGGGATGAGGGGATGGTACCAGAAGATCATGCAGGTGGGGAGGGGAGAGAGCGTTGGGGGCAAAGGGCGTGTGTGTGTGTGCGCGTGTGCGTGGCACGCTCTGGCGTGAGTGAAGCCCTCATGGCAGGCGCGTGGCTTCTGGAGTGACGGCCGCTAATGGCATTGTGCCCTGCGGGTGAGGGACCGTGTGGGACAGCAATCCGATGGAAAGCACTCACACAGACACACACAGACCCGACTGCGGCACTAATGGGCCTGTGACAGAAGTGAATGGAGGATAACGCCTCTGAGGGCGGAGGGCAGCACTATTGTCTACCCAAGCTGCTCTGGCATTACGTATGATAGATAATGTGCAAGTGAGTCAGTGCAATTAGTGCAAGCATGTGTGTGCATACATCAAAGGCAGGCGTGTGCGCCTCTATTTGTGTGTGTGCGGTTTGTGAAAGATAGCCCAGGCTGTCTGGCTACTCGCCCCTGGCCTGTGAACAGTGTGGTAAGTGTGAGGTTTGCTGGCTGGACTTCTGCGGCACTCACGGGTGATGATGTAGTCTTGCGTCAGCGTCTCGGCCTGCTTCTCCTTCCTCTTGTTCTTCACCACACATAGCTTAGCGCCCCTGAAAAGTCCAAAAGGGGAGGATCTGAGTGAAGATCCGATCTCTGTAAATTCAAAAATTACCCTACGACTTTAACTATTACCATGCAAACATTGATTTCTGCAAAAGAGGCCCTGGCATCCCCTGCCCTTAGTAATCATTGCTAATGGACTCGAACAGGACAGTTTAATGAACAGCTTCATCTGACGGCCTCCACGGTTAGTTCATCAGACATGTCTGTCTCCACTACTCTATCTGATCCTTCCTGAAGTAATTACTGAGCTGTGAGTCACTGGGTGAGCATGCACATGCACAGAGCTATTATTCCTCTTTGGAGATGTGTGAACTGTGGGAGAAAGAGTGTCTGGCCCAGGGGGAGGGGACACTTGAGCTCACTGCACCTCTGACTCTTGACTGGGTCGTAGTAGACCTTGGCCAGACCGTTCCCTGTTCCAACCATGATCTGGTTCAGCTTCGGATGCCAGAGACAGCGAACCACACTCTGGAGAGGGAGAAAGAGACAGAGCAAGAGAAAAACAGAAGGGGGTGGGGGGTGTTGAGGGGAGTGAAAGAGAGAGAAAAAAAATTCATTTGGGACAGGAAAAGGAAACATACGGAATGCCGAGGAAAACAGTGAGCAGAAATTAAGATAAGGGAGCACTTTTCTGCAGAAGGCTCTGAAATGTACGCCAGCTGTATCTGCGCTGCTGAGCAGAGGTGAGACTGGACTCTCTTCTCACTAAGCTCCAGTTGACTATATTTGGGTGTTGGGTAGAGGCCTGGATCTCGCAGTCTCTGTGTGACAGATGGGCCACTGCCAAGGGGCATGTGACCGTGTGTGTAAGTGAGAGAGTGAGAGAGAGAGAGAGAGAGAGAGAGAGAGAGAGAGAGAGAGAAAGAGAGAGAGAGAGAAAGAGAGAGACGAAAGAGAAAGAAAGACGGACACACAGACGATGTAGTGGGCAGGAAAAGCTCTACAGCTATGAACGTGATGGACTGCATTAAGATTTGAATAGAAGGAGGGTGCATGGCTACTCTTCTTTGCACACGTCTTCAACTTGTTCCGCAAACAGGAAACTGTTCATTTTATATTATAAGAATGCCCGACCGTGGAGAACCAGAGCTATAAGACCAGGCTATATTTAGTGCATCCCACAGCACATTAAGGCCAAGTACATTAAGCTATATAGGAAATCCAGGGGGAATGTATCATTTTTGTATAGTAAACACAAAAGTCAGGGACAGATTCGAGTCTGTATGGCTTCTGGAAAACAAAGTGCGGAGAAGAGTATAATAAATACTTGTGAGGTGGACAGAATGGAACGACTCATTCCAAACAACCTTAGTGCTGGTGGAGTGTGCAAGGGAGAAGCCTGTAGATCAACAGAGACCTGCAGGGGCAGTAGGGGGTCTGCAGCAGGGAGAAAGCTGCTTAGCGTCCAGCTGTTGAGGTCTTCACCCAGCCCTGGACAGTCAGGGCTCCCTCTCTACCTCCAATCCAGAAGCCTGTCTCCATTAAGCCCGCGTGACCCAGAATAGGGCTTTAGACCCTTTATCACCGTGCCCCGCAGACCCTTATTTACTTAACTGGATGTAGTGGGCTTAATCCGTCCCACTGCGCATGTGGTGGAGTAATTGATTATTTAGAAAGATCCAGAATGAGGACTGAAACTTTCCTTATGCAGAAATGCCAGTAATCCCTTTGTAGTACACATTGCATCACAGCTCAAGACTACACGTTTCATTTTCAGCACATCTGCACACACGATGAGGGAAATGTGTGAGTGGCATGTGTATGAGGAAAGCTCGATTCAAACTGTGCAACAACAGATGTCTTACAAGTTTTCTGCCTGTCACATGAAATAGGGCCAATAAAGTTACAGTCAAATTTGCTGCAGATATCATTTATGTTCACATGTGTTGTATTCCACATCATATGATAAGGATTCTTTGAAAATGACCACATTGTGCTGGGGACTTCAAACAGCACAATTTAATGACGAATTGCTGTTTGTGGCTTTTTAGACATACATTATAGTAGTGGTCACATTCTGAGATTTGGGCCTAAATTAATGACACTGTCAGTCATAGACTGTCTTTGGGTGTAGAACTATATCAACCAATGACAAACAAGTCACATTAAGCATTTTAGACCATGGCAGGGCTCAAGAATTATGTCTGCCCGATTGCCCGGGGCAAGTAAAACTCATGTCGGGACAGCAGCACGAAAAATCACTTGCCTGGTTGGGCAAATTCGTGTTGAGGTGGGGGGATGCACAAACTCAATTCACTTGAATATTTAACCCCTAACCATGCAAAAATGGTCTTATCCATTCACGCATCGAGTCAACACAAACCAATGGCTCTGCCTGGTAGCCAGTACTGTACTGGCTTAGAATGTAAGGTATTTGCTAACTTGCACATGCAAATGCTAACGTTAAGATTTTTTGTCAAGATCCTTCAAAGCATCCATGACAGCCAATTCTTAACTACTGCTTTTGTTGTCCAATCTGGAATTCTAGCTTTTTGAAGAGCCAGGTTTTAAAAATAACATGGCTTGCTGAAGGAAAGGTTCTAATATTCGCTGACTTGTGCAAAAAGAAAAGTGAAACAATACTGTGAGAATGCACACTTATTTCAAAAATAAACAACCGTAACTAAATAAATTAGCTTTCGTGTGCTCATTTATATTTGAACAATGCTTTAAAATACAAAGATTTGTGGTTTGGGACAGTGAACATTCAGGTCACTTGCCAGACTGAGCAAGTTGGGAAAAAAGTTAAATTTGAACCCTGTATGGATTTAAAACAACGGCCAAAGAATTTCACAATTGGTGTTTTTTGTTTTATAATTGTGCAGGATACCTAAAAGAATATTTGTTCATATAGGTAACAGATCTTAAGGCATACGTTCTCCTTACTTTATTCGTCCTCCCTTCCTTCATCACCTTAAAACGGGTTTTAACCTGGCGTGCTGAATTTAGAAATAAACAGTGAAAGTACAGATCAGTGCATCCAAAAGGATGTTGGCTCAGCCAAAACAGCTGGAAGTAATAACCCATACTTTACCAAAATGCCACATGGTGGTTTGTCTAGTACATTTGGTCACCAATATCAGTAAAATTTAACAGTACTTGAGACCAATTCAATACCACAACAAATGCAGAAATGCCATTAAGCACAATTCTTTATTTGCAAGCTATATTATGAAAACCCTAGCAATTCAATGATCAGCAATTCAAAGGCTAAACCAGTGAGCTGAAGGTCAGTGAAAACTGATCAAACATTCTAAAACAATTACCAACGTAATAATGTTGGCAGCTGTTTTTATAATGTCGAGAAAAAGAACTGGCAAGTCCAGCGAGAGTGTATAGGGGAAAACATTCTACTACCAACAATCACATAATTTGATTGCGGTTTTGAGATGCACTATATTACCTTTATTACCTTGCTAACCTGCATTCAAATTCAAACCATTTCTATCGGCTCGACATTTTTAGACGGTGGCTCAAACAAAAAAAAGGGTCAAAACGACAATCTGTGCTGAAATCTGCATGTGGAATTTAAATTACTGGGCCTCCATTCAGTGACGTAAGCGACAATGTGAAGTCTGAACCAATCACAGTCAGAAGGAGGTCTCAGATCACACGCTTGTCAAGACGTCTATTTAGCAGCCACAGCAACCCGCCCCAAACCAGCCACACCGTTATGGCTCACAAAGATGTCTTTTTTTTTTGCTCTGAAACGTCTTCTCCTTTGAAATATACTGGTGGTTGCAGTGCTGCGGCAGCAGTAGCACTGGTTGCCAGTGTGGTTTTCTAGAATGCGTGCTGAGTTCTTTATTTGCAGTCAGTTAGACAGGATTGTGGTGCTGAATTAACTTGATACTACCACTACTTTACACAAAACAGAACAGTTACATTTTTCTACATTTTTTATGGACTTTGCACCAAGTGCTGGTACGGCTGACATCCCTATTTACATGTGCATCTCAGTTTGTAAAAAACTAAATAAAAATGAAATGACGCAAGACAGAAAAATTAGGTCTGGAGCAATGACAAGAGGAGTCACCAGCTCTAACTCGGCAGGATTTTTTGACTGCCGTGTGAATATCCAATCTTTTCCAGATTGAATTAGTGTTTGCGGGAAGGACACAGGGGGACATTCGGGCGTCCCCTTTGTTCTTGAATCTTTCCTAAACAGTGTGAGCTGTCTAGCTTGCAGGAGGTTTGTGTCAGGCCAAGTGTACGTCATAGAGAGGGAGACCATGAAGACACATGGGGGATAAAGATGAGTCTCAACACTGTGGCTAGGTCTGGTTATAAAAGAAAAACACACAACACCACACACACAGTGCGCAGCAGAGCCAGACTACCCTGAGAGAAAGAAGAGACAAATCACCTGTGCCTCGACCTCCGCACCAAAGATTAAGGCTTAGCTGTATGTCATACAGTCTGCCTTTAAGAGCAGGGAGAGGGAAATGGAGAAGCAGGTTTGTGTTCAAAGTGTGTCAACCATGAGCTGTGTACTCTAGTTCATGCAAACAAGGATGCATGTGTGACACATGGTGTGAGAATGGTGAACGTGTGGTCTGGACGCCAGCCCCAAGGGGCCCCTAGAAAACCTCAGGAATTCATCTACACCTCTAACCAACAAAAGGAACCAACCAACGGTCCAGATAAGACTCTGAGGCTGTCAGCAATGTTTGGACGAAGGTTTCAAAATAACACTGCGATGGTGGATGAAAGAAACATATTACTACCCTGTGCTCCGTCCTTCTGGGCTGTGTCAAGCATGGGCGATATGAAGGAGTCAAACCACGGAAACATCAAAGCAAAACACCTGCATCCTGTCTTAACAGAGCAGGATAAGCCTGCAACGGACAAGCTTTTAGCTCAGTGCGGCTTTATGCGGTTTGATTACATTGGACTGTATATATTTTTAGCATCTGCTAAAGCCTTTCCATCCTGGAGACAGAGACGACCTTGGCTTTATGTTATAATACCACCCTATACCCGGTGATATGTACAAGAACGTTCACTGCACTTGCAAAAAAGAGAAGTTCTGGCTCTCCAGGCATGTTGGAAAAATGGACAGCTCACCTGATTTCTTACCTTGTGAAAACGTGGGCTAAGCCAGGAGCTACCAATAGAGTATTTGCATAAGCTATCCTGGAAATGTGCCCTCTGCCTCCCCGCTTCTTGCCCAGAGCACGACCCTGATCCAGGGTTATGTCGAATGTTTACACCCACATGATTGGTGGCCCTTCTTTTCACAGGACCGCCTGGCGCACCACTTCATAAAAAGACAGCACTTAAATTCTTCAGCCGAGAGCCACGTTGGATAAACACGGTAAATAGCGGGCTTGTCAGGGTCGCTCCGGGGCAAGTCACCTATAAATAACTCTGGGAGGGCCTCTGAACGCTGCAGAAGCATTTGCACAACTGTAAACCTGATTCTGTAGATACAGAACATAAATGAGAAGACACACTTCGACACTGGATTCTCTTTGTTGTTGTTAAGGCTGCCAAGATGGGGAGCAGAGCACCAAGGTCGCTTTCCTCCATCAAGTCTTGCTGAAGATGAGCCAGACTGAGGTAGAAGCTATTAAGGCCCCGTCAGGCAGCAGTGCTATGACTAGAGATGACTAGAGTGACGGCGAAGTTCTAAAGCCAAAGCCCACTCGCGTGACAAATCTGTTCAAGAGCGCATTCCATCATGAACAGCCATGGACAGCCATCAAGCATTGTTAAGAGAGAGGGCTTCATGTCTTCTGCCCCAATCATCCACTCACTGACCTCAACAGCATCCTGAGATGTTTCACTTGCTTCAAACCAAGTCCCCTCAAAGAGAGTGTCATGAATTTCACTTTCTTGAACAGAGGAACAGATCGAGAGTTTCGTTTGTTCTATGCAAGTGGGAGAAAATCACTCCCCTGCATTAGCTATTCAACCATGACAATGGTACTTCCAAATAACTTTTTGCTTGTGCAAATGGTCAGATACCTGCCCTGTACTAAGTAGATATCACAATTCACAAACAAGCATCGTCAACCCTGCCAGTTCATTTGCATTTCCAGCAGCGAGAGCATGCTGTTCCCCTGCTTGGGTTTGGCTAATCTTGTAAACAGTCTTTCTCCCCAGCGGGCAGACCACAAGGTTTCATTTAATGGGATTTTTGTAGTATTTCATTAAAAAAAATGAGACTTTTCTCATTCAGATCACCCAGATAGGTGGATGAAAATATTTCACATTCCTAAACATACTTTTCCAAAGGCCTATACATAATTGAGAAGGGTGTTAAATTTAATTGAGGCAATCTACGGGCAGCTGTAAAGGGTAATAGGCAAGTCTAATCCTCTGAGCTGAATCAGCTCTAGTTAAATGGACGATTAAGAAATTAGAGTAAATCTACATTTCAATCTGTTAGCCATGACCTTCCTTACTAAGCACAAAAGGTAGGCTGTAGCACTTGGAACAGAAATATCATCTCAACCAGTCTGTGTTTATGGAAAAGACTGGTCAGAGCTTTGTGTACATGGCTGGCATACTTACCGCACTGGCCACCTCAATCTCATACACTTTCCTGAAGGACTCTCTGTCGAAGAAGACCAGTTTGCCATTTCCCTCTTCTCGCTTCACTGAAGTGCCTGTCACCAGGAGTTTATCATCAGGACTGAAACAGCAGTCTGTCCTGCGTTCAGATACACAACAGCAGGGGAAACATTATCACCAGCAACCCTCAAAATGGGCTAAATATATAAACGCTATACTGTGTGCTTTATTTGAAGTCATCATCAACTTTATGAACTAAGAAAGAGGAGAAAATGTTAGACTGCAAAGACTATAGACAACTAGGCTTACATTGGGAAATAGGAGGTCAACCCTGTGGCCACTTGGAGGGGCTTCTTGAAGTTGCGAATGTCCCACGTCTTTAGAGTGTCATCTCCTGCAAACACACACAAAATGGTATGAATATGAAAAGAGTAGAAAATCTCAAGACTAAGAACAATGATGAATGCCGAGATGCTAATCAAGTGACTAATGAGAACATTAAAGTCTTTTAGCATGTGATGGAATAAGATGTGAAAAACTGAAGATCAATTGTATGAGAGTGTGAATCAGACTCGGTGTACACTAAGCGGCCAGGCTGACTGCTCTGAGGTCAGACTTCACTCAGATGTGTCACACTGAAGGCTGAGCAACGCCTGCACTGGGGATCTCCACACGCTGACTAATGAGTCAATTTCAGCCAACGGTGGACAGCGGGCTCAAAGGAAGGTCTGTAATGCAAGCCAAAACCCAAATGCGTGTGTATATGTAAACCAATGGACCCTGCTGGAGAGCAGCACTCAACCTCTTCTTCTCATGTCACTTTGGTTTCAGAGAAAAAGACAAAACCTTCATTCTTCAGGGACAACGTGCCTTTTGTCGCCAGGGCCAGACACTGCAACCCCCAGGTTCTGCACAGTCATAGATAAAACAGCAACTGCTCCAGATTGACGGAAATACGAGGGTTGATAACAAATAGGATCTCACCTCCTCGTGAAGCCAGAGTTGTTCCATCATAGGAAAAGGTAAGGCAGGAGGTGTCAGAGCCAGGAGCATGGGCTTGGCGACAGTGGAACTTTGTGTGGACCTAGACAGACCAAACAAAAAAAAATGAATTGGATTTTCAAGTAACAGCTACAAACTTTCTTCATCCATGAACATATACAGCACATATATTTCAATTGTGACTCAGACTCAAGTTCACCATAAGGCTGTCGCCAAGTCACTTTTGTGCTATGTGAAGAGTTCCTATTCGCCACTTAAGTCACATAAAGGCCCTTTCATGCTCGATCACTTTAGGAGGCCATGAGGTTTCCATTTGCTGGAGGGGGAAAAACATACCATGTTTGAATTCAACCCTGAAAACCACCAAAGTTTTGGAAATGTTTGGACCTTTGCAATTCCATCACTGTTTTGATCTGGTAAAATCGAAAATGTCTGCCATCGTTTACCTTGGCCTTGACAGTCTACCATCTTGCTGACATTATCCTGTTAGAATTACAAAGTACCATCAATCTAATATCAACCTATATAACAAAAAATTGGAATCCATGTTCTGGAGTCAAGTGTAAGGTTTTCATTTACTGCTTTATGTTATTCAGCATAAATTTACTGCCGTAATCCTTGTAACCTATTCCTCTTATCCACACAAACAAATTACTTAAAGTCTGCAAGAATAAAGATGTTATCTTCTCCTGAGGAAAGGCCCTCACTCAACGGCTGCTTGAAGAACCCTGTCTCATGCCAAAGCTCTCGTCACTCATGGTAAAAATCTTCAGAATTCATACTCCGTTCACAGCTCAGGTCTCAGCGCTCCCTGCCTGAAGCAAAGAGCTTTCACCAGTGATCACCTCCTCATCACGCCATTGTGTAAAGAACCTGCACATAGAAAATGTGTCTGCATGTTGATGGTCATTGCAACTTGAGACATGGCCAACAGTCCCTGTCCTAGCTGGTGTTACTGCTGTCAAGTCAAGCAGCGATGACTGTGTGTGGTCTAGTTCCATCAATGCACATGGACAACAGTGGAGCCCCATGGTAGGAGAAAGACCCTGCACTCGAAACAGCTGGACCCATGTTTATCGAAGTTGGGATGGTGATTTAAAGCAGTTAGTAAAAGCCTCTATTCAGATCCATCAATAGCTGTGCTTGGGTAAGGCTCTGCAGCGTTGCATGTGACGAGATGGACACGTGCCTTATGCCACAGAAACTGAGTGGTATTTCCCCCATGGGACAAAATCCATAAAACTCACCGCACAGCCTGGCAGCTTTATGTCCAAGTGTGGTTTTATTCGCAGGTTAAAAACAGCCAATAAAAATGAATTTCATTTGCACAGAATGGCACATTTATAGATCATAGAGAGGGACAGGAATGGCAATTTTGTCTCTGGGGAGTGCTGAGTACAGTAAGAGTGTGCTTGGTGTTTAACACCAACACTGTCCTCCAACTGACCGAAGCTCTGAGAAACCAAACCAAAACCACTTTCACATACTAAAAACTGAACACGCGAAGCATATAAACTAAATCATCTGTTAGTTATCAACTCCCACTATTCTGAAACATAACACACAGAATAAACTTTTTTTTGTCTATGCTCCCTTTCAACACAGACTGGCGCATTATCTGAGGAGCAAATCTGACCAGGTGTTCTCAAGACGGGCAGGAAAATCCACTCAGTGCCTTCTCAGCACCTAGCGGTCTGTTTAACATTTGACTCTTTAGCATTAGAGAGGGAAAATGTGCCAAGGTCCACAGATCAAGAGAAAGGCTGAACCTACTCCAAAGCCACATAATAAACATAACCCTCCATCACTTTCTAACAACCTAAACATGTTTCTTGCTTTCTTTTTCTGCTTGTAACTAGTGAAGACATTGAAGATCTGTTCTGTGTGTGAACCGTGTATATAAAATGATATATATTCTGAACGATACAGAAATATTTCTCAGTTTGTCTCTCCCTGGTGCCTCTATATGGCAGGATGCAGTGGATAGCATACCTACACTAAGTGCAACCAGACTGCATGCATAACACGAGACAGACAAGAAATATCAGGGAGGTTTGGCAATGAGTCTACTCAAATGAATGGACACGTTACGAGACACTGCATATGAAAATCATCATACTATTTTACTAGTAGCATAATAAATTAAGACTGATAGAAAATAAAGGCAGCTTAATGTTAAATGCATGAGCAGTCTTTGGGGTAATGAGGGGGAGGAAAAAGAGAAGGGAAAAAGATAAATGAAATGAGGGGATAAATGATTGGTTCAGAAAACATTTTTACAAGGTCCATTACAATCATAAGGGTTTTTATGAGCTGACATTGCTCATGTTTAAAGCCTGCAACATATTATCTGGGAAAAAAATTAACAGGGCAAGAAAGCTACCTTGTTTTTACTGAGCACTAGGACTGTGACAACTAATCATGTAAAATTGATTACTCAATGAAAACAAATTAACATTCACTATGAATTGACTAAGTGATTAGTGATTAAACATGGCGCCCAAAGCTATGTTCAGTGGACCGATATTGATCCACAAGGGTGCAGTATTAGCCCACAAATCAAAGAGAAAATCCAGAATATGATGGTACATAATTTGGTATGATATCATAAATGCAACTATGTTAGTAGTTACTAACTGCCTGTATATGCAGTAAAAGATTTTGCTTGATGAGGTCTAGACTGAAAAGCTCAGCAGACAGGCTAACAGGCTACTCCAATAATATTCAGAGTTAGGTTGTGGTAACACTGGACTGTGGCCTCACTATTTTTTCACTAGGCTGGAGCAAAAACAAGTTGAGTATGGGCAATACTGTTACAATTAAGTTTGGTGAAAGGCTAACTTTAATTAACTAGCTTGTTTTTTTTATAACTCTGAGTGACAAGCGACATTATATTAACGGACAGGCAGTTCCTGTTAGCAAAGCTAAATTAACCCTACCAAAAGCAAACTGCTTTTTCCGCGTTGTGACTTTTCTCATTCAAGTGGATTGGCTTTTTTTTTTGCATTGTGTATTTTTTCTCACGCTCAGTGTGTCCATTGCCTTAGGCTATACCAAAAGACTCGCTGTAAAACTGGAACAAAGTAAAGAATATGCCACTTAAATGTCTGTTACAAGCTTCAAATGCCTCAAAAGTCTTAAGCAGAGCTGTAGCTTTAAAGCTTGTGTGGGAAATGAATGTACTGCACAATTTGCTTGGCACTAGCATAACACTGAAATCCCCATAGATTTCAGCCACTGGAAGTAAGTGTTATTGTAACAGTGGTACTTAGGATAATTATAAAACAAACATTTCTGCAATAAATACAACTATATACTGATTTGTGTGGCTGTGATGAGTTCATGAAATGACAGGATCAAAAAAGCATCAAAAGTTGCTCAAATTTTTTTTTCCAAGGGTGCATTAAAATGGCTTCAAAAGCATTTAATTACATTGGCTAATACATTCAGGCATCTTGATAATGCATACTTTTATTTCTACTGCTCTGTCTTGCAGTAAGACACAGAGCCTGGTAGATGAGCTATTCTACTGCTATAGTTTTTCAACTAAGGCTTCTGTTGTATCTTTTAAGGTATTTTGGATCTTTGAAAGGCTCTGCATAGTATGTTATTGTTCCCTTGAGCTATTTTTCTCTTGTTTGGTCTTTATTACTCCATTAATCATTTCAAATACTCGCTTAATTGTGGAAATGAATCGCTAGATTATGATAATAGCCACAGCATTACTGATCTCTATGAGTTATCCATTAAGGCTACTATAACAAGGTTAACTAAGAGACTGTTTTAGCTATGCTAAGATCTCGAAGCCTTGAAGCTCTCAAAGACACCATGCAAAAAGGTGCATCCCAGCTTGTTATGGCAATTCTAACCCTGCTTTGGGATCCATTTTCCATTTTTATTTGAAATATCGAGTGCACATTCCACAAGTACATAAGCATGTGTCAAGGGCACCAGAAGGCCGGCTAGCATGTACTTGGAGATCAAGGAGAGTGACAAAGAGACAGATATGTAAAGACAGAGAGGTGAAAACCAGTTTCCTGAGTCACTGGTGAAGAGGATGAGTGCAGCATTGTCACCCAGGTGATGGGCAGGGGTACGAAGCAAAAGGGGCATGGTTGTCAGCACTCCCACAGGAGCTAGCAGAGAAGTCATTAATGTGGAGCGCAGAGATAACACTGCTTCACACACCCTTAGCACCAGATTACACTCAACCAGCCCTGCGCAGCGTCCTCCGAGGCTCCTCTTTGCCACTCTTTTGCCAGACCAATTTTCTCTCGCATAATTGGTCCGTGTTTCTCTCCTCTTCTGTCGGCACTCTTTATCTGACTGTCTCCACCTGCTCACAGCATTAATGGAGCGCAGCCGTACTGATTGCTAAAAGCTCACAAGGCCCACTCCAGTTTAATTCATTCGTGACCGCGCCAGGAGAGTCGCACGGTGTGAAATTGAGAAAACGCAGGTACGTTTACTTCTTATCTTGACCAAGTCTGGACAGTTTGGCAAGCTCCCAGCACTTTCAGCGACTAAAATTTCACTATTCTACTTAAGGTCCCACCACAGGGTGAGCGTTAAAAGAACAAGCTGCACCCTCCATATACTACTGAAGACTGACAGGATCTCCAAAAACCCTTTAATAAATTCTAACAAAATGAATTCAACGGCGTGGCAAGCGCAGGGCTAAACGCATCAGCTTAATGGTCAGGACATCCGGCCTAGCGCCTTCTCCAGTTTCAGCTTTTGGCAGAGTAGCACACGGCACCCCCCTGCTGCTGCTGCTGCTGCTGCAGCTCTTCTGGGACTTCAGGGGGTACATTTTGTCAAGCAGAGACATAAGGTGAGGTCTGTTGGACTGGCATTGAGGGAAACAGGTGGAGATTTGATTAGTGTTGACACGATATATCTAGCCCCCTTCCCTTGGCGGAGAAAGGCCGCCACTGTCCCGCTGCTGGAGGACCAGGTCAGGTTTCCGTCTGACCGCGAGCCCTGATTACTGGAGGAGCCGAAGGCGAAACTCTTGCCTCTCTCAGTCTGTCATCGCCAACACCAGGATAGGGATCAGCCACTGGAGATTTCACGCTCCGG